TCGGATGTTTTTGGTGCTTTGTCGCGTCTAGTTACATTTCCGGCAAAAACGAACGTGATATTTAGATTCACGGGATAAAAATACTTCAGAATTCACCTCTAACTCGCTTTTCTTTTTTTAAGAAGTGTTTCAGCTTCCCTTTAAGCACACGCAGTTGTTATTTGCTGATAATATTAAGTTTTTATGGTGGTCAAAGTGGTTTAAAATTTGTGAATATCTTCCGCGTGATATTAATTATATTTCGGTGTGGTGTCTCTCAATGGCCTATTATTAGACGAGTCAGAGACGAAAGTTATGCATTTTTCGAAAAAGCGTGGAAGTCTGAATTTTCCATATACAGGGTGTCACAAAAGAAAATTTACACGGTCTTTTTTCCCGCAAAAATAAACTAGGCATCGCCGAACGCTCATTCTCCGCCCAAAGGTAGCGCTAGAGGTCACAACCAGATGCCAAAGTTTCAGCCCGATCTGATAACTTAATCAAAAGTTATAAGTTATTTTCTGAAAATTTCAATGGAAAAATGGCGGCCGACGGAGTTCTCAAACACATGGGGCTCTATGGCACCAGAAACCGAAAACGAGCAAAAATGGGCTCCATTTTCCCATTGAAATTTTCAGAAAATCACTTATAACTTTTGATTAAGTTATCGGATCGGGCTGAAACTTTGGCATCTAGTTGTGACCTCTATCTCTACCTTTTGGCGGAGAATGAGCGTTCGGCGATACCTAGTTTATTTTTGCGGTAGAAAAGACCGTGTAAGTTTTCTTTTGTGACACCCTGTACATTAGATTCCACCGATATTATTCGTATCGAGGTCATCCGTGATCTGGGTATCTTTATGGGCACTGCGATTAATTTCAATCATCACGTAACTACAATTAGGAATGCTTATTTCAAAGTTCTGAGAGCCATTAGGCGAATAACACGCAGTTTCTCTAAATTATTTTGTTTTTACAGCGGAGCTGTTAATGACCAGGTTCCCCAGGATCGCGTCCATGTATGTCGACATAAACCTGCCTGGACAGCTACCGCCATCTATAAGCGACGGTGGCAAGCACACAACCAGTATGGTTTCCGCCGTCGCTCGTAGATGGCGGCAACCTTTCCAGCTATAATGGAAGAATGTTGGGAGCGTTGGTGGGAATTCATCGTAGGAAACAACGCGAAAAACAGACGACGACAAAGAAGAAGCACACAGTGTATCGAGTACAGCTCCGCTGGTCTTCCTTCTTCACGAGAGTGGAAAGGCTGAACGATTTTGTTTACGTTTGCTTGTGTTGAATATGCCTCAACTGTATGGAAGGAACTATATTGGAGTGACTAATTCGACTGTAATTGAGCGTGTTCAACATAAATTCATTTGTGTATTGTTTGATCGTTATTTTCAACATAATTATTTCTACATCTATGAAAAAAATGTGTGACCTCGCGAAATCGGACACGCTGGACAACAGGAGCACGATCCGTGGAATGATATTTCTGTATAAGATCGTGGAGGGTACACAACTGATTCACCAGCGCTACTAAATCACGTCTACTTGCGCGTTCCTTGGGGGTCTAGTAAACTTTATTACTTGTTTCATCCTTCTGATTTATATCACTCAGCACCCACGACACGCCTTCAATTCACGCATAATCATCTAGAACAGAGTTCTGGAAATTTTGGGCTCGATATTTTTTCATGAAGAGCGTAAATTTTGAAAGTGCGTTGCTACCAATGTTTTGTCCTAATGTTCCATATTTTTATCGTGTCCGAACAATTTGACAACTATCTGGCACTAATACGTGCACCACTAAGGAGGCGTCATGCTGTTTGCGGGTCACTCAAAATAAATAATAATAAATAAATAGCGAATGTGCGAAGACGACGAGTGCCGTCAAGATGCACTTTTGGCATTGCTTGATTGACACTATCCGATTCTCGGCTGCATCCGGACTTCAGACATCCAAGGCTTATTTTGTGCGATTGTGGACACCGCGCCAGCAAGGGGGGAGAGGGGGGATCTAATTTGTCCGCCACGGAGCGAGCCAATAGTGGGTTTCAGTACTGCGTAATACGAGCGAACGCAAGCACTGCGCGTTTGCGTTAGCGTTGCGTGTCTCACACTGCGCGTGCGCGGAACTCCAAACTGCGGTCTTGGACTGGTGCATGGCAACGACGCGCATGCGCAGTGTGGAGAACGCAACGTTGACGCAGACTAAACAGCTATGGCGTTCGCTCCTACTCTACGCGCAACTAAAACTCTCTAATGCGTCACTAGCAGACAACCCGTCTGCTAAAGCGGACGAAGAATGGCGCAGTGTTTATACATAGCCTCCTCTATACTCACAAAGCTTGGCAGTTCGACGACGGAGCCATATATAATGCCCGGTCGCAGATTTAGAGGGCGAAGATCTGGTAGCACAGAGAGCATCAAAGAGCCATTTCTCGGGGAATCTGGACGTCAGCGCATAGCTTTTGAAGCCGCGAGGACCCGAATCACACTTGTTTGCTCGGGAGAGGTGTGTTTCAGCGTCTCGCCGCAGCGGGGCGCCAGCCACGTAGCTCTCCTTTCATCCGTCGTCTGCCGCCCCATCTTTTCCATATCGGCGGCCGCTTCTCGTGGCGATCTGCCAGGCTATGGCACAAGTAAAACTCTCTAATGCATTGTTAGCGGACAACTCGTATGCTAACGCGGTCGTTGAAGAATGGCGCAGTGCGTAAATGTCCGCATACGAGCGTCTCCTGAAAATCATCAATTGGAACATTAATTGGTTCGGGACATCGGTATAGCTGAGTGTGCTAACGCAGCACAGTTCGAAAGGGCTGAAGCTCGCACTGCAGAGCCCCGGGCGATATTGGGTTCAGTTCTAACCTCTGCCCCTTTCGATCTCTATAAGCGTCGTACCGGCCCGCGGTCGTGTATCATATATACGGCGGGATGCAGACACCAGGCTAGCGGTGATACTTGTTACAATTTTCACTTAGAGTCCGAACACCAATTGGGGATCACTAGCTGCCTGTGGTCTGAACATACAAAAACCGCAGTTAACCATGATGTTCGTCTTGCTTGTTACGGGCTTTGCGTTGTGCGCCTTTTTTCTTTTTCACTTTTTTGTACTTGTGTGATGTACATATCTTGATTTTGTCATAGTTTGTTGTATCTCACCTATTTTTGCTGGTAACAATCTTTATCATCTCAGAGTTTTGTTTATGATACGAATACCTTACTTCGGGGGGGGGGGGGGGGGGATGATTACTGTCAATCTACACTGTGGTTCTTTTTCCGACCCTATCCCTATTACACCAATGAGTAACATTAAACTACATTTTGTGGTGAGACCTTGCGTTGTGCATCAATGTGCGATTGTATAAGTGAACTTGTTTTCTCCGAGAATCTCAGGTTATTTTTAAGAGTTACCTCATTTGCCCCCTAGAGTAGATTACATATGCTTCATATATATTTTTTTTTCTTCAAATCTATACATCCGTTTTTTTCTGTTGCATTTGAAATATAACCACCATCTTTTAAAACGCTCTATTGTGGACATTTTATTCTCGAATTATCTGTTTTATGCTAAGTAGTCCTTAGTCTTTCTATTGATTCCGTGCTTTTGTTTTTGTCTTGTGCGTGTTTTGCTTAAATACTAAATGTATGTATATTTATGTATGACCATCAACGCAAGTACGTCGCAGACGAAAGAAAGAAGCGGAAGAGCGGCGTGCATTCTTTCGCATTTAAAACTCATAAGACGTGCTTAAGTTTACCTCGAGCTTTTTTGTGTTTTTTTTTTCTTTTGAACGAGGTAAGTTCGTTCCTTCATTTCTTCTCTGTTAACTTCCACCACCTGCTTGCACCTCTGTGATTAATAGCAGCGCGATACATTGAGAAACCGATTTATTGAGAACCGTCTAAAGTGCCTTAGAAGTGTTAGTTTACATGTTGCAGTTTGCACTTGACGGTCTTTGCAAGCAAAGAATTAGACGCCTGCGCAAAGTATAATAATTTTGTCCGCCCTGTAAAGCGGTTTCACAAAACGCCTTTTCACTTTCGGTATGCCGCATATTCCTAAACAGCGTCCTCCCTATTAGTTCGCATGCAGACGCTTAGTTATCGGCGTCGTTGTTGGTGTTGGTAAAAGGCACAAGATTGGCTATTGCCTTTTGATGACATAACTCAGTAACTTACGACCGTGAACGCATTTGAGCCTCCTAAACACATGCCTACTCTGCGCTTATTTATTTATTTTTTTCAGAGTCGCTTTGGCGGCATTTTTGGGGCCATTTGGGCTGCTGACGGGTCGACTTGCCGATCGCCGACTTGCATCAAGTCTGAACAAAGGCCGGCATACATACAACTGAGTACAAGCCGCTTCTCCTTCAAGCCGGGGTCACACTGCTTATACATCATACACAAGGCAGTCTGCATACAGATTCGAACGGGAGTCACCGTGAGATCGTGCTTCGAATGCCGGATAACAATGAGTTAAAAAAAATACTTGGCACGCGGCATTCGAACCACGGATATTGCTGTGACCCGTGTTTGCAGACTGTTTTTTGTATAATGGTTTGATCGGTACGACTGGCTTTATGTTTGCGGCTACTCTAACTGGCGCTGTCCATCCCGACGCAAAAGAGTTCCAGCGATCTGGAAGACACTGCATGCGCAGGTAGAAGGAGATAGGGCGAAAGTTCATCAACATGGCGCCCGGCAAGATTTCGAGCCGGCAGAACGTCAAGTGAAACCGTCCTTCAATTAGGCAGTCTTTGGACAGGCTTATTGCCTATTAGAGCAAGTGTTTCGCTCCGCACATTCTCAAACCTTGAATGAAAATCACTCTTTATGAATAATATCGCTGATGAAAATTTCAGTGAGGGCAAAACATAGTGCACATACCATTAGCCAAATGTAGCACAACGTTTATCACTGGACCATTTTCCATATATATTTTGAGGTGACTGGCATTGATAATGTTTGTCACATGGTGGGGAGGCTCGTGTGTAGACCAAATTGACGTACCCAAAAGATGAAGTTGAAGGTGATCAGAAGGGCCTTGGCACATTTGGCACCGCAGGTCAGCGCCATGCTGCAAAAAACAAACAAGTGCATCATCACCATGGTGCATCATGAGCGGCCGCTGAACAGAAAAAACAAACAAACCATAAACACTAGCTTGATTATGGTGACGAAGGCCGGAGCCGTGTCGTGAATAGGCGAGGCAAATGCTATGTGTGTGTGACGTTACACGCCGTCATGATGTCGCCTTTATGTCTCGGTTTTACGTGAGCATACAGTTTTGCTTGCCACGGTGTCGCGAGCAAAACGCGATACCGTGGCGTTGCGGAATCACGAGACATCGTGATATCCCGTAACATCAGGACGTCACGTAGCATCATGGTGTTATAGACGTCATAATGCCGCAGTCTTAAGTGACTGTTCTTCGACGGTTTCCTCGTACAATTCGGCCGACAAAACACATTCCGTGCTTAAACTTAAATAAAGGTTCTAAAGCTAGTAGCTAATATGGTTTTTTTCGTCACTCATTCTTAACAGTCTCAAGCATACCTTCGGAGCTGAGGTGGTGCCTCAGCATGCACGTACCTTACAAACTGGGTTATATAACTCTAAAGAAAGGTTTTACTTATCTCCATGAAGACTCAAGTCTAGGCACTTTATAATGCCGTTATTATTAATTAACTGAAGAGAGGGCCTTGTATATATTTTTCTAATAAAGGTGTAACTCACAGCTAGGCATTTCAAAATGTTGCGAAGTATCTGTTTCTAGGTGCTAAAAATAACATCGTGACAGACAGGTAGTTCCGTTGAGACGTGTAAAAAGTTTTTAACTGAGAAGCGATTCCGTCGGCCATTGCGGCGGGATTCATCTGCTCTTTGTCAATTTCGTAGTGTTGTCGGTAACAATGCATAGGCATACTGTTCACCGTCATGGATCCTCACCCACGCCTGCAAGCTAAGGATTAGTATTGTTTTATGCTCGTTTTGCGCATGCACGTGCTTGTCGCCCCGCCGTTCTCTGGTTTCTCGCCGCAACCAACATGGCGGACGTACACTTCAGCTCGAAATTTGGCTTTGAGTGCCGTCAAAGGCACGGGCGCGGGCGGCTGGTTTTTGAGAGCACTTTTTCTGCGCGAGTGCTCGTGCGGGCGAAGGATTCTTCAGGACTATGGATTCGCGTCTTGGCCTTTGCCAGCGCCGAAGCCAACTGGTAAGACGGAGTATGTTCCTCGGCGCCCAACTATAGATGACGCGCCGTGCATTTCGCATATTGCGAGCGATCACTTTCCGCACGCAGCGAGAATCGATCACTCGCCGTCGGTTGTTCCACGTCCGATGGCGCCCTCTGGTTTCTACGCCGAATCGCAGATAAACGGGCGTCTCGCCATTTTCGGTTCCCTCTTTAATAAGAAAATCGGACGCTCATCAATCCAATCTTGGCAATTATAGAGTGTTTGGTGCTCGTAGATGAAGTTACGAACATAACAATACTCTATCTCAGATGTTACACGCAGCGCAATGGAAGCTGTTTACTCTTTAGCCAGACGGCAGAGCAAGCACATCCACAGAATGGTATCACTACGCGCTTTAACATTCTCTTTATCCTATCTCTGTCGTTTCGTTATTTTTGTATTTTAGCCACGACAAGTAATTAGAATTGCTGCTTCATTGATTTTCATAATTGACATCGATGCTAACGAAGAATCCTAGTTTGTTACAGCTCATACTTCTTTGGAATATGGTGCGTGTTTTAAAACGTTAATTTTTTTACGATGATTGAGAATACGAATAATTTTATTTACTTTGACTTTAGATCGAAGTGCTGCATATTGTAACCCAAAAAAGGAAAAAAAAATACTGATAGTGACTGACACCTCGACAAACGCAGGGCGTGGTTTATTGCGTTCACTCCCCTCGACTCGTGATTGACTCAACGGCGTCCTCACTGGCGAATGCCGCACCCTCATTGGCTGTACAGCGATAAGGAGATGCTCAGGACTTCACCGCAACCTGCGTTTCTCGAAGACCGACGACCAGTTCGCGCTTTCCACTTTTCCCCCGCTTTTTTCTCTCCCCCCTTCTACCCTGTCCACTGTTGCCTGTTTCCTTCTCCCCCATGGTGAGGAGGATCTTCTGCCTTGCAGAATCTCGAGTCTGGTCTTCGGCTTTTAAGCTGCCACTGCCTGCAGTGTTCCAAGAGGAAACATACGCGTGTTAAGATTTTCTAAGAGCCAAAGTGGAGGAGAATCGTGTGACCTTGAAAAAAAGAAAATAAACACGATTGATTTTATTTATATCGCTGTAGCTGAAAACGAGGTCATCATTTATTGCTATAGTCGGTTATAAGTCAAGAAAGTAGGAAAAGCTCCTCCTACAAGCGTGATGCGCCATTTTTAAATCTCTCCGCAGTCGAAAGAAGAGTACACTGGAAACCCTCCTTGTTCCGCTTCAATGGATTCCAACTTGTCTCCAATCACACTTTTTAAGAAAGCGACCTTTGCATTCATCGGAGGGGGAACCGAGCCCCTGAAAGCAGCCTTTGTATCCATCGGAGGGGGAACCTAATCCACGAAAGTCGTATTCATCGGAGGGGGAAAACTCTAATCTCCCTCTCGTGGCTTCCACAATACTCAGTCAAAGTCGAAAGATAAAGCAAATATGTACAGGAAGGCAAGACCCTCCTCGCGCGTTGGCAGCGACGTCACGGAAACAATGGGACGCTATTGGATGCGGAGGTGGCGGAGGGATATATGATTCCCTTTGAGGGGCATTTGATTTGTCGCTACCTTCTTAACCTGTAACTGACTATAGATGGATTCTTAAACGTAACAGATGAATTGACAAATCTAAGAGAACATTAAAACCAATGCGGAGGAAAGAATTACTGTACATTTAAAGTACACTTTGATTAACAACCTCTTACCGACGTAATTTCCGCTATACTGGAACAAAAGCAGCTTCACTTTATTAATTAGTAAAAAGCATTGATCTTTTTGTTTGCATTTAGGTTTGCTCGCGATATGACATTACTTGTTTCCGTTGTTTTCTCGCGTTATAATTTGCTGGCAACAACGCACCTCGTGACCGAAAGTGAAAGGTAGAGTGAAAGCACGTTCCGATTTGCTCGGAAGAGCAAATCGGAACGTGCTTAGTCTTCAGACTGCTACAATATTTCTTGCTCGGTGGTTATTTCATTTAAATACAAAACAAATGCGCACAGAAAGCATAAAATGAGTGGCAGTCTGTAAGAAAAAAATAATTTGAGATTTATGTTTGAGGGAAAGGTTTAAAAAATCATCGCATTAAAACTGGCGTGATTAAATCACGATGTAGATCATAATTTATTTAAAAATTTAAATATCTTGATTTTTATTATCCAACCTGAAAAGAGCACGTTCTGAGCAAAATCTTTATGTAGGAGGGCCGGAGGTTTTTGGCTTTACGATTTATTTTTGCACCACCTTTACGCCTTTGTTTATCTATATAAAGTATGAATATACAAGGAACAGATAGGAATATGAATTACTTGTTTGATTACTAGAAGAAAAAAAAACAATCATACTGCCTCAAATTAATACATCCGCCACCATACTTGTATTCCTGTGGAAAAAATTACAAGGTGACCAGTTAGTCGACTAAGTATACACGGCCTAATAAATCAGCGTAATTAAAGAGCCTACACATTAAATGATTGAAACATATATACGCGTATATTCTTTCATTCTCACATGAAAAAAAAGTGTTTTAGTAAATGACAGAACAGTATTACGCTGTTCAAGTATTCAACGAACGTCAATTTGAATGACAATTTTTTAGTCATTGATTTGCCTCAAAATCGGGTCACCTTATTCATAGACACATCTGAATGAGTAACCTAAATGACAAAAATCGTCATATTTATTTTTAGTGAAGCTATTGAAGATTCAAATTTGGACTGGACTTAAAACACCGGAAACGTGACGTCAGATGTAATACGGGGCAGTAGAGCCTGTTAATGAAGAGTTACAAGAAGTTTGATGGCGTGAAATGAATGCTGGTTAAGCTCACACCACCAAAACAAGAAGAAAAAGAGCAAATACCGTTTTTTAGGGTGCCTTTTCGACCTCCAAGTTGCACAAGCTATGACGTCGCCCCACCGGTGAGCGCGGAAAATTTTGAATGTTGGTTTTGGAATAACCGTCATTTCCCGTTTCCTCAGTAGCTATTTAGAATTGAGAGATAATGAACAGCACGGCTGAAAAGAGTTAAACCTGGGTTTTCCTCAATAGCTATTTTGAATTGAGATATAATGAACAGTACGGCTGAGAACAGTTAAATTTGGGTATGCCGAAGATATGTCTAGTTTTAAGGGTAGCTGAAAAATCAAATCCGCCAAAGGTTTAACCGCGTGGATATAAATGTCTTATTTAAAAATTGAGCAGTTCCTCAGTCCCAGCGATACCTGCGACAAGACGCGGCGAAGTCTTTGGGCATGGACGTCGCGTTCACACACCGTGGGGCGCGTGGACAAAAGCGTTCGGAACAAACTAGACATCTGACCAATCATTCTGTAACGACCGTTTTTTTTTTTGTTTTTTTGTTTTTGAGCCCGTCAAGACGAGTCTATTGGCACGAGCTCTTGGCATTGGCAGTACTACAAGAGCATCTTGCTACGAACTATCGTTTTTCCTTCTTCTTCAAAGAGCGCGTGCCGTGGGGATAGGGTACTACAAAACCGCCAAGTTTAGAGCGGCTAGATAACGCTGTGGTGCAACTCAGTGGTAACTCCTCCTCTTCGCAGGCAGCGGACCCAGGTTCGATTCCCGCGTGCGGCGGCCGATCTTTTTCCAGAACTTGCCAACATCTACGACGGACGCCTCACATCGCCAACTACACCATCAACAACTGCTACTACAACTACTACATCAACAATTACTACAACTACTACTACTACTACAACTACATCATCAACAACAACTGCATCAAGAACTACTACATCAACAACTACTACTATACAACATCAACAACTACAACAACTACTACAACTACATCATCAACAACTACTGCATCAAGAACTACGATATCAAGAA